CGAGTACTCTCCCATTTGTCTATACACCTCACCGATGTTGTTGTAGGTAGTAGCCAATAAAGGATGATTTGATGGAAGAGTTTTCTCATACATTCCAAGTGCTTTTTCGTAAAATGAAAGTGCTTTCGAGTATTTTCCCATGTTCTGATACGCCGCACCAATGTTATTGTAGGAAATAGCCAACGAAGGATAATTTTCATGAAGAGTTCTTTTTTCGATTTCAAGTACCTTTTCGTAATACTCAATAGCCTGTTCATAAACACCTTGCTCATTTTTGATAAGTCCAAGCTGGTTACAATAATGTGCTTTATTACTCTCGTTCGATGCTTGTTCAAGTAGTGCCTTGTATAGTTCTTCAGCCTTATCGAAGTGACCTGTTTTGATTAATAACTTACCTAGTCGTTCCCATCCTGTCGCGTCTTCAGCCTCTTCACTTATACATTTTGTCAGTTGTCGAAGTTGTTCGTCATCATCAGCAGTCAATTGAAGTTCCACTTGATAAAGTTGATCATAATTATTCATTTGTTTAATTGCATCTATTCGAAATACGGTGTGCATAGAGAAGAGAATTTCTTCTTCTACCTCGAAATAACTAACTTCTTTAATAGAGGCGAATGGTATTGATGAAACACGAGGATCAATAGTCATTATAAAAAGTATTCCTACCATGTCAGCATTTGCTAAAGCACTCTCAGCGAAAACGAGAGAAACATCTTGTTTGGTACTTGTAGATAAAAAATTGTTAAACGACATAAGACCACCTTTTGTTTTTCTCAGCTTTTCGAAATCAGTTTTGAACAGACCTTGTCCTCGATAAACTATAAAAGGCTTACCACCATAACTTGGAAGCTGTTGTTGATGTAATTGAGTAATTTGTTGATGGAGATCACGAATAAAAAATCCCATATTAATAATTGTATCAGCCTCTAATGTTCGAAGTGCTCGATTGAGCATTTGATAGGTAAAACACTCACGTGTATACCACCAGATTGCATGGTTCGAATCATAATCTTGTTGAAGTTCATCAATAATATTTGATTCACCAATATTGTCCGAATAAAATTTGCGACAATAAACCGCTAGGAGCGTGATGGCTTGATTTTGGTCATGTGCCACTTCAAGGAGAATCTCTTTGAATAGTTGTGTGTACATGTAACTTGATTCCAGTTGATTCAAGTTTTCACTGGATACCGTTTCGTTTGCCGCGACAAAGCTAATAGGAATTGAATTCTGATTAACTTGTTTGACACCTCCCTTTAAGGCGTCATAGATGTCCTTGATATTGTTATGGACACCCTTGATCTTGTTCCAATCCTTGGCCCATTGTTGGTGATAGGATATGTTATTACAAAATATATAAATGGCATTTAATGATGGCATATCATGGATTTCTGGAATCAAATGTTGCCCTTGATATCCCGGTATAATGAGAAACGCTTTTTCATCATTCAGATTGTCGAGAAACTGCATGCATTCATCAGGTTGAGTGTACATAGTAACATCGTTAACCACAGTTCGGAGCTGTGCCAACGTATTTTTACAAACCTTGCTGGTTTGATCGATGCTTGCATCGACCCAAACCAACAGATAATTTTGAGTCATGCGCTGACGTGTTAATGGCGCTGTTGTTGTAAGAGTAGTATTGGATGCGCCTGAAATGGAGGCTGAAGCAAAATTTTCCTGTGATTTTCTTGCGGCCATACTGCCGTGAATTGCAACTCAACGATGAATATGAGTTTATAAATGAGTATTGTTATTTGAATAAAAGGAGAGATTACAGTATCGATTTATATAGACAACGACTTGTTTTTTTCTCGAAGTTTCTGCGACCCACAACGGTTGTATTATTTCGTGACGATGGGAAGACAAATTCTACCTAGTTACTACTGAGAGCATAGTTACAAAATATGACAGAGAAAAAAAAGAAACGAAGAAAAAGTAGTAATTTACAACATTAACATCAACCAAACATTAAGGCAGACAAGACACTACTTTATTTTTTTTTCTTTCCAACTTGGTGTTACCTGTGTTGGCGCAATTACTTTGATATACCAACGCGTAGCTGACACTTTTTCATCAGATGAATGTGAAAAGAAAAAGAAACAATTCTTTCCGCGAATTTCTTTTTCTTTTTCTCTTTCTCACTTTTTAGTTCATCATGTTGTTCTTTCATCAGTGAGGTCCACAACAACACAACAATTGTATATTAATAATCATTCTAGAGACACTGGATCAACCGATCAGAAGAAAAATAAGATTGAAGGATATTTTATATTACAAACTACAGTGTTAACAATGACCTTATATTTGAAATAGGACAGTTTTACATATATATTCCACAAACTTTGATATTAGTGGATGAAAAATAAAGAGAGTCAAATAAATCACGCAGAAATCTGGCATCAAAATACACATATATTAGTATAATCGTGGTCATTATAAATAGAATTTAATAAAAACAAACATTATCAACAGCATTACAATTAAACTATGTATTCTATATGAGTATCTTGATTAAATCTATTGAGAACGATTCGTTGGGGTGTGAATGGGTGGTGTGAGTAGATGTGTCTGGTTTATGAATCGAATACTGCAATCACAACTACACCCACTTTTTTATTTGTCACAAAATTGATAAAAAAAAGAGAAATGATGTTTTAACAAGGATTTTTCAATTAAGCAGTTGCAAGTTTATTTCATTGAAACTGACTTAGCTAAAAATTTTCATGATATTCAGAGGTATTCTTCCGCCGTTTCTGCATAATATAAATAAAACGAGAAAATCGACAGAAATATAATAGAAAATAAAGAATTTTCCAAAAATATAAGTTTTATAGGATCATAGAAATATTTTGCAACAAATGATCTCTATTCTATTTATCAGAGTGAAAAGCAACAAGTATCAACAATCACAATTATCATTCAATCTGGCGGATATCCTTTTCTTCCTTTCTTACAGTTTTATCATGCAGATCATCTCAGACATAATACTAACACATCTTATGAAGAACTTACCTTCACTCTAAATCAATTTACGAAGTAATTTCTTTTCAGAAATAGAAACATAAATAATTTAAATTGAATATCCTGTTTTCATCTTCGAAGAAGACGAAAAATAAATAGCGTGCAACATGATATATTTTATTCCAAAATAATTCTTAAGATGAAAAGCTTTGTTACTCGTTCGATCATTACATTTATATAAATCAATTCAAAGAAAAACAGAAAAATACTTTATTGATTGTCACTTGACTAATATTCAACTATTCATAGATTTAAAGTTTGTTTTTGGAATATACGAAATTACCTATAGAAGTAAAAATTTTAGTCTTTTCAAAACACTTCTCATCGACAGGTTTCTTTTATTCAAATAGTTTCTGTTTACAAATTTATTTTTAATCTAAAAGGTTTCGGTTCAGAAATAAATCGAAGGTATGATTGATGGATATCGCTTGAAATTAGTAAAGTAATTAACGTCTTCTTTGAAATTCCACAACAATATACTTTTTCAGATATAAACAATATTTTGTCTTGATTGAAAACGTCATCTCGTAAAGATATTTCTCTTTGTGACCCGCATATGAAAACACATAGACAGTTAATGACCATAATTGATCAACTTTCTTTTGATAATTTTATAAGAAAAAAATGTTGCTCTGGCAGACTAGTGTTACCACCAATCCGCACAATTTCGTCATCGCAACATGTAT